CCGGAAGGGGAACACTCGCACCCCAACCAGCCGGCTCACAGCAAGACTCCCCAGCTCTCCCAGGAGCCGAAGGGGGCCCAGGCGGCAGGCCCAGACCCCACCCACCATTCGGCCGTCAGCCGGCACCTGCAGCAGATGGAACCGCACTTGCACCTCCCGCGAGGCCAGGCAGAAGCGAGCCAGACCTCCTTCCCGTCCCCCGTGGCTGTTTCGGTCAAGCAGGAGCTCCCGTCGCCCCACCAGGCCTCCCTGCAGAAGACCTCCTTGTTCGTCCCAACCACCGCCGGGCCCGCTGCCGCTCCTTCAGGGCTGCTTGTCTCACGGCCCGAACCCCAGTCGGTGCTCAAACTCGACCCGGCCGCTCACACTGTTTCCCAGAGGCCCGTGGACATGGTCCAGCTTCTGACCGTGAGTCGGCTTTTAACTGTGGATGTTCTAGTAGGGGCCGGGGCAGAGAGGGCAAAGCCTCAGGAATCCTTTCCCACTTTCCTTGGGAGGAGGGCAGCAGCCATGGGGCAGAAGCAGGGGGACATGAACTGGGACTTTACTGCAGGCGGAGGGGGAGCTGGTAGGTCCCATGGCTAAGGGGGCAGGCTCTCTCTAGGCCATGGCCTATTGGTGCCAGGAGAAGAGAGGGTGGCTTCCCCTGCCCCCCCCCCCAGTGCTGTGTCCTGCCTGTCTTCCTATGCCGGCCTCCTGAGTCCTCCTGTTGCCTCTGAGATTTCTCCCCCTTCACATGCTTCTCCTTTTGCAGAAGTACCCCATTGTGTGGCAAGGGCTGCTGGCACTGAAGAACGACACGGCGGCCGTCCAGCTGCACTTTGTCTCCGGCAACAACGTCCTGGCCCACCGCTCCCTGCCCGCCCCAGAGGGAGGGCCCCCCCTGAGGATTGCCCAGCGCATGAGACTAGAAGCATCGCAGCTGGAAGGCGTGGCCCGCAGGATGATGGTAAGGGGCCCCCTCTGGTGCCCTGGTTTCCCTTCTGGCCATCCGAGGTGCTCCTGTGAGGTTGATCTCAGCCCCCCCCCCCACTTAGTTGGCAGAAGAGAACGGCTGTTGCGCCCTGGGCCGTTTCCATTGGAAGTGTGGGCAGGGTTTGGGTGGTTTCAGGAAAGAGCCAAGGATTTGTCTCAGGGGTGGAGCAGGAATGGGGAAGAGGAGGCTCCTGCAGAAACCCACACTCACAGGACGACCTTCTCTGCCTCTTTTGGCTCATTAAGATAAAACAAGCTTGGGAGGGAACTGTGTGTTTTGCCCTACGTGTCACCAAGAAGGCGGCAGGTATCCCCACACAGCTCCTTGCCCTGGATTGGCAACATCAGGTTGAATATGTGTGCCACTGGTTGGAGTGGTCAACAAACAGAAGAGGGCCCAGTAAGGTTAGATAAGAGCCATAAAGGTAAAGGTAAAGGTTCCCCTTGACAATTTTTGTCCAGTCGTGTCCGACTCTAGGGGGCGGCACTCATCCCGCTCTTCAAGCCATAGAGCCAGCATTTGTCCGAAGACAATCTTTCCGTGGTCACATGGCCAGTGTGATTTAGACACGGAACGCTGTTTACCTTCCCATCAAGATGGTACCTATTTATCTACTCGCATTTGCATGCTTTCGAACCGCTAGGTTGGCGGGAGCTGGGACAAGCAACGGGCGCTCACTCCGTCGCGTGGATTCGATCTTACGACTGCTTGGTCTTCTGACCCTGCAGCATAGGCTTCTGCGGTTTAGCCCACAGCGCCACCACGTCCCTTGCGATAAGAGCCATACGTTTATTTATTTATTTATTTTATTTTTATCCCGCCTTTCTAATCAATTAAGATTACTCTAGGCGGCTTACAACAATACAAACGAACAACGATATAATTAAAAGCAATTTTACATAGGAAAGCTTATAGCAAGATGGGACAGAACTAGGGAGTGGAAGGAAAGGGGAAGTCAGGAACTGACAAAGGGGAAGGCCTGCCGAAACATCAATGTTTTTAGTTGTTTTTTGAAAATGCCCAGCGAGGGAGCCGCGCAAATATTAGGAGGGAGGTTATTCCAGAGGCGAGGAGCCACCGCCGAGAAGGCCCGATTTCTTGTCTTCTCCTTCCAGGCCTCCCTCGGCGTTAGGCTCCTCAGCCTCACCTCCTGGCTCGCGCGGGTGACACAGGTAGATCTTGGTGGGAGTAGGCATTCTTGGTGGTTGCTTGCAAGTATAGTCCAAAGTCTGTGCTGGCCACTGATCGGGCTGTGCCCCGGAAGAGGAGCCCACCTTGGTTCCCCGAGTGGTCCAGGAGGGACCCTCCCTGCAGCCCGGGCAGGAGCAGCATCCCTTGCCCAACGGGTGGGCAAACCATGGGGGGCCCCTTGAGCCCCTCCGTCAGCTGGTGGCCTCGTGTCTTCTAGGTGGAGAGTGATTACTGCCTGCTGCTGGCCTTGCCTTGCGGCCGAGACCAAGAGGATGTGGTGAGCCAGACGGAGTCACTCAAGGCCGCTTTCATCAGCTACCTACAGGCCAAGCAAGCCGCCGGCATCATCAACGTTCCCAATCCAGGCTCCAACCAGGTACAGAGAACAGGTCTCTCTTGTTTTTGGGTGGGATTTTACCTGCCCCTCAGGTAGGCAGGCTTTCAATCCTACCCTTGCCTTGTTCGACTGTCTAGAGAGAGAGAGAGAGAGAGCGCCTAGTCCCTGAGCCTGCCGAAGGGCAAACACCTGCCCCCTCTGGCTTGGCAGTCCACGGGCAATGCGAAGCCCCCCCCTCCCTGCTTCTCTGAGGGACTGGCTTTGCACGGGCATCCATGGCCTCTCATTTGGTACATCACCCTACATTCACGTTGTGATTCTTGGCATTTTGAGTGAGTAAAAGCATTTTACTCCAGCAAGCATTTTCCTCATTTCAATGAAAAAAGGAGGTTATCCAGTTTTTTTCAAGGTTCCTAAATGCTTCAACATTCCCCCAATATTTTCCAGACATTTCTATGGGAGAGTTATTGAGGGGGAGGGCCTGAAAATGAGCAAGGGGGGCTCTGTTCATTGTTCTGTCCCTCCCTCTTACCCTCTGGGCCTCAAGCTCTCAGTGGCCCAGGGTCGGGCTGGGTCCCCCCCCCCTTCCTGACTCTGCTCCTTGCTGTCTTTCAGCCGGCGTATGTTCTGCAGATCTTCCCGCCCTGCGAATTCTCAGAGAACCACCTCTCCCGCCTGGCCCCAGACCTCCTGGCCAGCATCTCCAACATCTCTCCTCACCTCATGATTGTCATTGCCTCGGTCTGAGCAGCGGATGAGTTGTGGACCTGTCTTTTCCCCCCTCCAAGGCCCTATAGCAAAAACAGAGGCAACGGACGATGGAAGGGTGGACTCAGTAGAAGGAAAGAAGGAAGAGAGGAAGGGGCTCCTCCGGCCCCCACCCCCACCTCTGGGGCCTTGGCCAAATGCTCATGGGGTGGTGCCCCCCACTGGCTTGTATGTTTACATTTTGCTTCAGCGAAGGCGGTCACCCGAGGGGCTCAGTGAGGCAGCCCGAGCCGGGCTTGTCGCGCCTCCTCTTTGAGGAGACAAAAGGAAGTCTTTTCAACATGGAGGGAATAAGTTTCAAAAGCACGGAAAAGGAACCAGAACTGCCTTTGCACTAGTTTAGTGGCTTTGGACCTTTGCACAGCTGAGAGGTGTGTTGTGGCATCCCGGGTGGCAGTCTCAGTACACTCATCCAGCCGGCGGACGGACACACTGGACTTGTGAGAGAGATGCAAGACCTGGGAGGTGGTGCACCTGTCAGCGGGTCGAGGAGCATTTCACACCGTTCCTTTCCTCCCTGACACACACACACATACACAGAGTGCTTGATTCTCCCAGTTGTTCCTCCCTTGCTCCTTGAACTGCCCCATCAGCCTCCACCCAACCCCGATGCTGCAGTTGCCTCGTGCCCCTCCGTCTGGGATGTGCAGTTTACACCAAAAGCAAAACACAAAAGGGAGAGCTATATTTTCCTTCTCGGCAGGATATTGCAGGACTCTGTGGGTGGGTGTATATAA